AGCACCACTTATTGAAGAGGCTGTCTTTTCTCCATTGTATATTCTTGCCTCCTTTATCAAAGATAAGGTGACCATATGTGCGTGGGTTTATCTCTGGGCTTTCTATCCTGTTCCATAAATCTATATTTCTGTTTTTGTGTCAGTACCATACTATATGGATTACTGTAGCTTTGTAATATAGTCTGAAGTCAGGGAGCCTGATTCCTCCAGCTCTGTTTTTCTTTCTCAAGATTTCTTTGGCTACTTGGAGTCTTTTGCGTTTCCATACAAAGTGTGAAATTTTTTGTTCTAGTTCTGTGAAAAATGCCAGTGGTAGTTTGATAGGGATTGCAGTGAATCTGTAGATTGCTTTGGGTAGTATAGTCATTTTCACAATGTTAATTCTTCCACTCCAGAACATGATATATCTCTCCATCTGTCTGTATAATCTTTGATTTCTTTCATCAGTGTCTTATACTTTACTGCATACAGGTCTTTTTTCTCCTTAGGTACGATTTTTCCTAGATATTTTATTCTTTTTGTTGAAATGGCAAATGGGAGTGTTTTCTTAATTTCACTCTCAGGTTTTTTATCATTAGTGTAGAGGAATGCGAGAGATTTCTGTGCATTAATTTTGTATCCTGCTACTTTACCAACTTCATTGATTAGCTCTAGTAGTTTTCTGGTAGCATCTTTAGGATTCTCTATGTATAGTATCATGTCATCTGCAACCAGTGACAGTTTTACTTTTTTCTTTTCTGATTTGGAATCATTTATTTCTTTTTCTTTTGTAATTGCTGTGGCTAAAACTTCCAAAACTATGTGGAATAATAGCGGTGAGAGTGGGCAACCTTGTCTTGTTCCTGATCCTAGTGGAAATGTTTTCAGTTTTTCACCATTGAGGACAATGTTGGCTGTGGGTTTGTCATATATGGCCTTTATTATGTTGAGGAAAGTTCCCTCTATGCCTACTTCCTGTAGGGTTTTTATCATAAATGGATGTTGAATTTTGTTGAAAGCTTTCTCTGCATCTATTGAAATGATCATATGGTTTTTCTCCTTCAATTTGTTAATATGGTGTATCACATTGATTGATTTGCGTATATTGAAGAATCCTTGCATTCCTGGGATAAACCCCACTTGTTCATGGTGTATGATCCTTTTAATGTGCTGTTGGATTCTGTTTGCTAGTATTTTGTTGAGGATTTTTGCATCTATGTTCATCAGTGATATTGGTCTGTAGTTTTCTTTCTTTGTGTCATCTTTGTCTGGTTTTGGTATCAGGGTGATGGTGGCCTCGTAGAATGAGTTTTGGAGCTTTTCTCCCTCTATTATATTTTGGAAGAGTTTGAGAAGGACAGGTGATAGCTCTTCTCTAAATGTTTGATAGCATTCGCTATGAAGCCATCTGGTCCTGGGCTTTTGTTTGTTGGAAGATTTTTAATCACAGTTTCAACTTCAGTGCTTGTGATTGGTCTGTTCATATTTTCTATTTCTTCTTCGTTCAGTCTCGGCAGGTTGTGCATTTCTAAGAATTTGTCCATTTCTTCCAGGTTGTCCATTTTATTGGCATATAGTTGCTTGTAGTAATCTCTCATGATCCTTTGTATTTCTGCAGTGTCAGTTTTTACTTCTGCTTTTTCATTTCTAATTCTATTTATTTGAGTCTTCTCACTGTTTTTCTTGATGAGTCTGGCTAATGGTTTATCAATTTTGTTTATCTTCTCAAAGTACCAGCTTTTAGTTTTATTGATCTTTGCTATCTTTTCCTTCATTTCTTTTTCATTTATTACTGATCTGATCCTTAGGATTTCTTTCCTTCTGCTAGTTTTGGGGTTTTTTTGTTCTTCTTTCTCTAATTGCTTTAGGTGTAAGGTTAGGTTGTTTGTTTGAGATGTTTCTTGTTTCTTAAGGTAGGACTGTATTGCTATAAAGTTCCCTCTTAGAACTGCTTTTGCTGCATCCCATAGGTTTTCGGTTGTTGTGTCTCCATTGTCATTTTTTTCTAGGTATTTTTTGATTACCTCCTTGATTTCTTCAGTGATCTCTTGGTTATTAAGTAGTGTATTGTTTAGCCTCCATGTGTTTGTATTTTTTACAGATTTTTTCCTGTAATTGATATCTAGTCTCATAGCGTTGTGGTCAGAAAAGATACTTGATATGATTTCAATTTTCTTAAATTTACAAAGGCTTGATTTGTGACCCAAGATATGATCTATCCTGGAGAATGTTCCATGACCACTTGAGAAGAATGTGTATTCTGTTGTTTTTGGATGGAATGTCCTGTAAATATCAATTAAGTCCATCTTGTTTAATGTGTCATTTAAAGCTTGTGTTTCCTTATTTATTTTCATTTTGGATTATCTGTCCATTGGTGAAAGTGAGGTGTTAAAGTCCCCTACTCTTATTGTGTTACTGTCGATTTCCCCTTTTATGGCTGTTAGGAGCACCTCAATACATAAGGGAAATGCTATGTTGGGCACAGAAATATCTACAATTTTTATATCTTCCTCTTGGATTGATCCCTTGATCATTATGTAGTCTCTTTCTTTGTCTCTTGTAATAGTTGTTATTTTAAAGTCTATTATGTCTGCTATGAGAATTGCTACTCCAGCTTTCTTCTGATTTCCATTTGCATGGAATATCTTTTTCCATCCCCACACTTTGAGTTTGTGTGTGTCCCTAGGTCTGAAGTGGGTCTCTTGTAGACAGCACATATATGGGTCTTGTTTTTGCATCCATTCAGCCAGTCTATGTCTTTTGGTTGGAGCATTTAATCCATTTACATTTAAGGTAATTATCAATATATATGTTCCGATTACCATTTTCTTAATTTTGGGGGGTTTGTTATTGTAGGTCTTTTCCTTCTCTTGTGTTTCCTGCCTAGACAATTCCTTTAGCATTTGTTGTAAAGCTGCTTTGTTGGTGCTGAATTCTCTTCGCTTTTGCTTGCCTGTAAAGGTTTTAATTTCTCAGTCAAATGTGATTGAGATCCTTGCTGAGTAGAGTAATCTTGGTTCTAGGTTTTTCTCCTTCATCATTTTAAATATGTCCTGCCACTCCCTTCTGGCTTGCAGAGTTTCTGCTGAAAGATCAACTGTTAACCGTATGGGGATTGTCTTGTGTGTTATTTGTTTTTTTTTCCCTTGCTACTTTTAATATTTTTTCTTTGTATTTAATTTTTGATAGTTTGATTAATATGTGTCTTGGTGTGTTTCTCCTTGGATTTAACCTGTATGGGACTCTCTGTGCTTCCTGGACTTGATTGACTATTTCCTTTCCCATATTAGGGAAGTTTTCAACTATAATCTCTTCAAATATTTTGTCAGTCCCTTTCTTTTTCTCTTCTTCTTCTGGGACCCCTGTAATTCGAATGTTGGTTTGTTTAATATTGTCCCAGAGGTCTCTGAGACTGTCCTCAATTCTTTTCATTCTTTTTTCTTTATTCTGCTCTGCAGTAGTTATTCCCACTACTTTATCTTCCAGGTCACTTCTCCATTCTTCTGCCTCAGTTATTCTGCTATTGATCCCTTCTAGAGAATTTTTAATTTCATTTATTGTGTTGTTCATCACTGTTTGCTCTTGTTCTTTTAGGTCCTTGTTAAACGTTTCTTGTATTTTCACCATTCTATTTCCAAGATGTTGGATCATCTTTACTATCATTATTCTGAATTGTTTTTCAGGTAGACTGCCTATTTCCTCTTCATTTGTTTGGTCTGGTGGGTTTTTGCCTTGCTCCTTCATCTGCTGTGTGTTTCTCTGTCTTCTTATTTTGCTTAACTTACTGTGTTTGGGGTCTCCTTTTTGCAGGCTGCACGTTTGTAGTTCCCGTTGTTTTTGGTGTCTGTCCCCAGTGGCTAAGTTTGGTTCATTGGGTTGTGTAGGCTTCCTGGTGGAGGCAACAAGTGCCTGTATTCTGGTGGATGAGGCTGGATCTTGTCTTTCTGGTGGGCAGGTCCACGTCTGGTGATGTGTTTTGGGGTGTATGTGGCCTTATTATGATTTTAGACAGCCTCTCTGCTAATGGGTGGGGTTGTGTTCCTGTCTTACTAGTTGTTTGGCGTAGGGTGTCCAGCACTGTAGTTTGCTGGCCATTGAGTGAAGCTGGGTCAGAGTTAGAGATCTCTGGGAGATTTTCGCCGTTTGATATTACATGGAGCTGGGAGGTCTCTTGTGGAGAGGTGGCTCTGCCACCTCAGAGGCACAGCCCTGACACCCGGCTGGAGCACCAAGAGCCTGTCATCCACATGGCTGCTAGTGTTGGAGGGTCTCCTGCTGAGGTTGGGGGAGGCTGTGGCTCACCATGGGGACAAGGACACTGGCAGCAGAAGTTCTGGGAAGTACTCCTTGGCGTGAGCCCTCCCAGAGTCTGCCATTAGACCCACCAAAGAGCCCAGGTAGCAATCATCACTTTTTTTGATGCACAAACTATGCCAAATTTGCCCAGCAGGAGACCCTTCAAAGGGGCTCCTGTGTCCTTTTGACACAATCTCACTAATATTTTAATGACTCACTGCTTTATGGCACAACAAGGTACTCAATGTTCTCTTCTACTTTCCCAGCCCAGATCTAGAATCCTGGCTCCTTTTAGTGGAGAAAGTATGTAGAAACTATGATATGGGCACACTGATATTGCTAATTCAAATTTAACACTACAGGGATTTTCCCTTCTTCTTTTATTTTATATTTATATCTCCTTTTCCCTGCAGTGAAAATCCTATAACACCAATACATTTGTTTTATCCCATAGTATAGCAAAAACAATCTCAGAATTTCAATACCGATATTTCCACTAATAACAAACCCAGAAAGTAAAGTTTAAGATTTCTTTACAGTTCTTTTTGTCCTCTCACTATATTTCTAGTATAGATATATATTCAGAATATGATGTTCAAATTTTACTGAAATCATTATTTTCTCTATGTGGCTATGTTATCAATTTTATACTGAGTTAGCCACAGTTGTTTCTGTTTGTTTTCAAGTTGAGACAATTGAACTAATGTTATATGTTAATCCAACAGAAGCCTGAAAAGTGAAGCCTAAAATGAAGTATTCAACCACCAAAATTTCCCCAGCAAAGATGAACAGCTCAGCAGGCAAAGCCTTGGTAAAATCTCCCAACTTGAGAAGTAAGGACTTAAGCCTTTCTGATTGTTTTACACACCATTTTTTACCTGTTACCAAATCTTTATTATTCCAATGTTTATACATTCTACCTTACCAAAAACTACTAAGAATACAAGAGCTGAAATTGAAAGGGATGGCTCATAAATGTGTAACACAGTCAGTGCTGTTTTGTTTTGTTTTGTTTTTTGCGGTACGTGGGCCTCTCACTGTTATGGTCTCTCCCGTTGCGGAGCACAGGCTCCGGACGCGCAGGCTCAGCGGCCATGGCTCACGGGCCCAGCCGCTCCACGGCATGTGGGATCTTCCCGGACCAGGGCACGAACCCGTGTCCCCTGCATCGGCAGGCGGACTCTCAACCATTGCGCCACCAGGGGAGCCCAGTGCTGGTTTTAAACAGACTATATCTGGCCAACTTTTGCTTATTTGATATATCACAGAACAGGAGTGGCTCAGATGACTTAAACCTGCTAATAGTGATAAACGTAATTATGGTCCTTCATATTAACCCCTTCTCTACCCATACTTCCTGCCACCAAATCCCAAAACGTTTTTCCCAGATTTCCTAACAAAAATTTAAACGGACCCACTTTTATTCAACAAACATTTATTAAGACCTTTGGTATATCAAGCTTGTGGTCTTGACTTGAGACTTCTGATAAAGGAGAGAATAACAAGCAAATATATTTGCATAATCCAGGACCCAAATAAAGCAGAATTGACCAAATGATGCTCAAGTCTGTCCAATTGCAAACTCAAAGGGTTTGGAATAAGTTGAAAGGTAACTAAGTCAGGTAGTAGCCTTACCTTTAAGATCAAAGGACTATTAACATCTTTGATTCTTAAAATTACTTATCCTAGAAAAGAATTATGCAAATTTATTCTCATGTTTTACATTTGAGAGCAGTAACACAAAAGAATTAACAGAGCTCTGGTGGACCAGAAAGAAAATACAGCATGAGAAATGGTAGTGGGGACTGGCATATCTTTGTCCTTTTGTGCTCTTCTGCATTTCCCTGAACATTTTAGGCCAGAAGAGAAAGCAGTATTAAAGAATATCATTTCTGTCTCCCTGAGGCTCTGGCCCACCCATGCTCTTCTTTTGTAAGTAGGAAAACCAGTAATTGGACTGCGGTTTCTGAATCACCAGGAAATCACAGCTAAGTTAGTTCTTTTATTTATGTCTGAGTCAAAATGCTCCTTGCAGGAACAGTGACTCATTAGAAGTGACTCTGTGTCCCCAAATTCCCTCTTAATAAAAAATGAATTTTCTTTGTACCCTAGGAGATGTGGGCTCTATGTAGATACTGGAATGAGGGAGGGAGCAGGCTGGAATATACATCAGAGTTTCTGGCATTGATGGAAAATGAAAATGTAACCCCACCTGTCAGGGTTCAGTGGCCCTAACTGTTTATTTACACCATTCAGAGAAACAATGATAAAGATAATCCCAAATCTCATCGCATTATTTTTATGGTTCCTTAGCAGATTTTCCCTTCCAACAATATTGGCTCAGTTTAATACTATAATTGTCATTATTTAAACACTCCTGGCTAAAATTTCAACAGATACCTGTGTGGTGTGTGACAGGTATGAACTGCTTTTCAAAACTCAAGGTGCAAGAAATGTCACAACTTATTTTTCTAAATAAACTGCTCTGAGCCCCCAAACAACAAAGTTCATTTTAATTCCTTCTCCTCCCCTGGGCTAGCAGGATCTTACACAATCACAAAGCCATAAAACGCAATACCCAACCACTACAGGTATCCATACAGTCAGGTCCCACATGAGTTCTGGTCAGCACCAGGGCATTTCACCTCTAGTGCCAACAGGGTACGGGACTTCATGAGCTAGAGGAAAATCTGCAACAAATGAGCCCATATCCCTACATGACAATAGTTGAAGGTAGAACTGAGTAGGGATCACCCCCTTTAGTTTGCAGCTCTCCAAAGAAGATCTTCTGTTACAGTGAAGGAGCTTTCACTTTATCCTGTGGACAGTAGGGAACCAACTGAAAATGTTTAATTGAGGAAAAACAAGACATTTTTATTTTGGAAAGACCATGTTGGTGGTAGTGAAGATAGAGCAAGCAGGCAAGAGTAGAAATAGAAACTGATCAGAGGTCTACTGCATTCATCTTAGGGGTCTGGTGATGAGGGCCTGACCTAAGATGGCAGAATGGAAAGACTAAAATTCAGATACGTTCAGAAATTGAAATCAGTAAGGTAAACCGAATAAATTGAAGGATAGAGAGAGGGGAAAATGGATAATTCTCAGCTTTCTGATTTAAAAATTGGGCAGAAAATGGCAGATAGAGGTACTGTTTTTAAAGATAGGGAATTATGGAGGAATATATTGGGGGTAAAAGATAAAGAAGTTGTTTTTTTATTATGAGTATATTTGCATTTGGGGTATGTGTATGTCATTCAGGTAGAGATGTCCAGAATTAAGAAGGCTCTACACAGATAGAAATAGACATGCTTTAAGGTAACTTTAGTCAAAATGCCCTGTGGCATCAAAATTTCTGTAGAGAAAGAGCAACAGATATAAAGCTCAGGAGACAGACCAAAGGTACAGTTACAGTTTGGGGAGTCATCAACATAGAAAAAGATGATTGAAGTCATTGGAGCAAGCAAGATTGCCCAGAAACAAAGCCTAGAGTGAGAAAAAAAGGCAAAGGACAAAACCTTCAGGAACACCAACGTTTTAGGATCAGGCAGAGAAGGAAGAACTAACAAAGAGACAGAGATGGACTGATCAGAGGGAAACAAGGAGAATCCAAGGAGACAGCTGATACAACAATAAGGGAAGAAGGCTTCAAAGAAGGAAGTGGTCCCCAAGTCAAACGCAACAAATGGGTCAAAGGTAGTAAATAGGGCAAAGAGACCTTGGTAAAATTAGTGTTTGGGGAAAAAATGAAAGATGAAGTGATTCCCTTCTGTAGTTCCTGTCAGCTGTGGTCTGGCTCTACAAAAAGATTTCCAGGCCCATTCCCATTTACTCACCAGAAATGCCTGAGGGATTTCATCATGCAGTTGCTATGATGAAACTGCTTATGAGAATTTCCTTAAAAGCCATATAAATACACTGCCCTCAGATATCAAGCAGGATGGAGACACAGGAAATGGCAACAACCTTTTCATAAGTTTGAGCTGGCTTTTTGATCCTAGTGGAACACTCTCTTCTACAGAGTTCCTATGGCCATGACAGCTTCATGCTTTCCTCCCAAGAACACAACCCTCACACCACAGTTTCAGCTGCCCCGAATACCAAAGTATACCTTCTTCCAAACTCTCCCAATGTAAAGTATTTTAAATACTTCAAAAAGTCATCCCCCAAGGAATTATACCTAGTGTTTGTCTCACTAGATGCTAGCCCTTACATTCACATATTTAGCCCTCAATTCTCTTTTTCTACATCCATAATATTTCCCCAGTGCTATGACCCTCACTTCTAACTACCCAAGACCCATATCCTCCTCCCCAAAGAGTCCACTCTCAATATTAGACATACCTGGCATGGGATACCTCATGGGATGCTACACATAATGAGAAGCATACAGGAATGAGCATGCTTACAGCATCATCTTATGCCTTTTAACTCTGAAGAGACAATGGGATACAGTATAGTGTAAACCCTGACAGGTGGATTTTGTTTTTCTATTTTGTAATGCAAGTGCCCGACTTAAGCTTTGATTGCTGAGGCATGCACTTCAAAGAGGTATCCACTTCAAAGAGGCATCTACTTCAAAGATGGCTATCTCAAATAAATACATGGCCAGCCACAAGACTAGATAAAGAAAAGGAGATCTTGCTTGATTTTCATAACTGGCCATTTGGACTACTTTCTTTTTTTCTCTTCCCACACTTTAAATTCTTGCTTTTATGTTTTAAATTCACCAATAAATAGTGAGCTCTTGCTATCCTAGGCTCCCACCCTCAACCCCAATAAAAGCAGAACCCCACGCCCATGTACCCTCTCTACCTGTGACTTCTCTGTGGGGTCCCAGATATGCAGTGTAATTTACAGATCCTATAATTAATTAACCTTTATTTCTTCAGTTTCCTGATGGTTATTGCTGAAGGTCATCTTGCAATCATAATAAGAACCTTAACAGCCAGTCCAAAAACAACATTGGTTATTGACAGGCTAAGACCAGCACAAAACATGCAATTAATGACATATTGTATTAAATTAGTTGTCAGGAGACCAAATTCAGTGTTGGCTCTGGCACAGCTTTGTAAATTACCTTTGCACTATATAAATGTGAGATACTGTAGCTGACATATCTGTATTATAAAGGAATATTAGGGATTTCCAGGGTGAATGAGTATGATTTAATGGCCTTTCCCTGTTCAGACAGTTGAAGATACTTAAAGGTAGATGCCCATCTGAATTGGAAGTAAGATATAGATAATTCAAAACAGTAACTAACAAAAGTTTATTCCACTTAACTTTGAAAAGCATATTAGGAAGGCAAATCTTCTTGAGAATAAAAAAAAATCATAGAATGGATCTCAAATCACAAGGAATTATTTTCATTTTCTGAATTACTGTCAATAATTGAAATTTGGCTATATTGCATAAATTGCTTGATAATTCATTTACTATAATGTTGGAAATTGAGATCCTATGACTCAAGTGTTTCTTTTCTATTTGACTTTGAAAGGCTTTTTATGATTTCCAAGTGACAAACTTAATGTTTTATTTGAGATTTTAATTTTTATTTGGATAAATGAAATCAGAATTACTGAATAACTGATATTTTTTTTACTTCAACTGATTTAATTTCAGTTTGCATTTTGCTATTCCCTAAAGTTGTAGTGTAGCATTTTTTTTAGATGGAGGTAGATGGAAGCATAGCTTTGATATTAGACACACTTGAGTCACATCTTCTCACCAGACCTGTAACCTTGGGCAAGTGTCGTGAATGCTAAGAACTTCAAATCATCATCTGTAAAGCAAAGAGAATAATACCTACCTTGCAATATTATTTGTGAAGGGTTAAAGGAAACAGTATGTAGAATTATCAGCACAGTGCTTGGCCCACTGTAGACACACTAATATTTGACAAGGGAGTCAAAAATACTCAATGGAGAAAAGATGGTCTCTTCAATAAATGGTGCTAGGAAAACTGGATAATAACATGTAAAAGAATGAAACCTAACTCCTATATACACCACTCACAAAAATTAACGCCCAATGGATTAAAGACTTAAATGTAAGACCTGAAACCACAAAACTCCTAGAAGAAAACATAGGCAGAAAGCTCCCTAACATGGTTGGCTATTTTTAGTATCAATAACCTTTATAGACTATAGTCATCTCTCCAAAATTATTAAAAGTATACTCTAGATAAGTAGAAATGATTGTAGATTTCATATGATCAAAGAGCTCCCCCTCAGTTAGGCAAAAATTGCTATATGTTGGATGTAGATCCACACTCCCTTAAACCAATTTTGAAACCAAAATCTTTTCTAAAGATCTAAAGTTTTTTGTATCTCGTTTGACAGCAAAATATGACCTGAACTCATTTGACAGCTAAATCCTGACCTGAACCACATGAGGTCTTTATTTATTTCACTTTATGTAAATTTTCCTGTTTCACTATAAAATTATTAATTTTTTATTATGAGGTGCTGCCCTAGTCCCTGCTGGGTGTTCTAGTTATATACAATATATGGTCTACATGACAATCTTAAAATCTAATAAACTCTGAATTTTGAAACACAACTGGCCCCAAGGTTTCTGATAAGATACTGTGGACCTGTAGTTGCTTTCTTGGTCTGGTACACTCAGGGTTTGTAAAAGGATAAAGATGGATGGAATGAAATGGTATCACAATTTTTTCAATTGCTCAGAATCCCAACAGAAGGCTGAAGAATTTTGCCCCATGGTCTTTATGCAGCTACGCTCTGGCCTTAAAATAGAAAAGAAGACCTGTTACTTTAGGAAAGAAACCACCAAAAGGCATTCACCAAGAACAGGTAAGGAGAAACTGCATTTCCGGATAATTTTTCAACATAATGATGGGCATCTATTTGCCTTCACTTACCACATCAAGATACATAATTTTTTTCCTCATCCAAATTCCTTCTGGAAAAGAGTAAGGATGATGAACTATTTTTTAGCCATTTTCAGAAGGGCATATAGAGTTTTTAATAGCATGGGAGAAATGGTTATGCTATAATATTAAGTAAAAACAGAGGATACAAAATTATAAATATATTTACAATATTTTTATTTTTTTCATTTAAAGGAAGTAAACTAAAATGAATAGTGGTTGCCTTTTGGGTGTTGAGACCATGGGTGACTAGTTTTCTTTTGCCTGGACTCCAGTGGGTGTGCCCTATTGGGATATAAGTGTATAGGAGGTATTGATTCCTTCAGACCATGGGGTGACTGAAATCCTGGGGTCATTCATCATTGTCAGCAAGCAGCCTCGACTGGAAATCCTCAAAGGAGAGATGGGAGAGGGGTCTGCACAGAGTAAGGACTGACAGTCCAGCCTTATTCCTACACCTATCCTGCAGCTAAAACGTACAAAGAGAAACATCTGGTATTCGCTGCCTGTCAGGAGCTGGAACACCTTGGACCGTCTGTGAAGAGCTTCGCCTTCGATAAAACTAGGGTCCAGAAATATACTACAGCAACTGGTCTTCCAAGTATCAAAGGTAAGACTGGTCACAGGGGTGGTGTGAGGGTGAGGAGGGAGGTAAGACACGGACCTTGGAAATGCCACTCCAGGAAGCAGCCCCAAGTCTACAATTTCATGTAAATATATCAGAAACTTCTGTCCATTTGTTGCTGATGTGCCCATGTAGTGGTATCCAAACTAAGTACAGGGTAGTTGCTCTAACAATGCATGTGCGTTCTATAGTTAGCATTCCATTATTATTTTGAAATGCTTGCTATGGATTGGAATTTCATATACATTATTCCTGAGAAAAATACATTATCCTTTAGGGGAAAAACCACATTATCTCCCCGAGCTTCAACATTTTGACAATGAAAGAAAAGGAAGAGCTATTATATTTTTTAAATATAATTTCAACTCAAGTATTTTAAGTAGTTGTTAAAATGGTTTTAAATTATATCACATACTTGTGCAAATATTCAATATTTAATATTCTTAATTTTTTATATATTATTTTCTTTAGCATAATTCTATACTATAAAGAAAATATGATTTTTTTCCTCCAGGACCTATATATGTAGTCTCTAAATCTGCTCCAGTTTACCCCAACATGCTGTAGAAATATTACCATTTTCTATGTGTGCTCGTATATTAAAAAAAAATTGAGAGTACTGCTTTAAGTGTCACTGTTATTTAGCCAGAAGACAGAATCAGGCTCACATCTGCATTCTCCAGGACTGTTGAAAGTCTCTGAGTAACTCCATGCTTTACAGATGGGTATTCACTTATCCATGTCTATCAAAATACAGCCCCTTCTTGCCCATAGTTCCCTAGATCATGTGGAGTCAGGAAGCAGAGGTTTCCTCAGGCAAACTCTATAACTTTTCCAGCTTCTTTCTCCCCACTAAACCCTCCCATAAGCACACTAACATGGCCTACCATGGCCTTCATGCAGGATGCTAGCATCTTTAATCCCATTCAGGTGGCACACCTCAGCCTTTTAGCTACATTAAGCTTGTGCCAGAGGCTTTCATCTATCCAACAGTGATGGACAAAGTGCAGCTCAAATTGCAGAAACAAACACAACCTATTGAGAAAGCTTTTTTTTAATTTCTAAAAGATTTTTAATGGAAACAAGGTTTTTGAATTCTTAATGACAAGATTTTTACTTGTTACAGAACATTCTGCTTCCCTGAGTACATACAACAATCAATACATTACTTTTGTTTTCGAGGATGGAAATTATGAGATCTATGTTGAAGACTTAGGAAAAGACCAAGAGAAAGGTAGAATATTTCCTTTTGTCTTTAATGATATAATGATGACTAGTAAAGTAAAAAAATAAATTTACCAAACCATAAACAATAGATTAACTCAGACATGGCAAATAGATTTCATGCTATGTGCTAACTCCAATGCATTGGCAGGGGATGCTTGAATATTACTATATTGAGGAGGATTCAGAAGCTTATTCATGGGGCTTCCCTGGTGGCACAGTGGTTAAGAATCTGCCTGCCAATGCAGCATTGGCAGGGGATGCTTGAATATCACTATATTGAGGAGGATTCAGAAGCTTATTCAGGGGGCTTCCCTGGTGGCGCAGTGGTTAAGAATCTGCCTGCCAATGCAGGGGACATGGGTTCGAGCCCTGGTCCGGGAGAATCCCACATGCCACGGGCAACTAAGCCTGTGTGCCACAACTACTGAGTCTGCGCACTAGAGCCCGCGAGCCACAACTACTGAAGTCCATGCGCCTAGAGCCCGTGCTCTGCAGCAAGAGAGGCCACCGCGATGAGAAGCCCGCGCACTGCAACGAAGGGTAGCCCCTGCTCGCCACAACTAGAGAAAGCCCGTGCAGCAACAAAAGCCCAAAGCAACCAAAAATAAATAAATAAAATAAATTAAAAAAAAAAAAAAAAGCTTATTCAGGATTCATCAGGGGAGAAGGATGATATTGAGAAGTGGTATCTGTTGTGAAATGTGGAAAGAGGTACCACATATATTTGCTATCGCTAAATTATCTACTAGGTCTTTCCAGCTTTATCAGTATCACTAAAGTATAAACCCTACTAAAAGAATATACCAGTGCTATGAACAACATTTTAAATATTTTAATACCAACATTGTTGGAGAATTCCTCAGAATATATTTATGCATTTTTAAGACCTTTCTCAAAACCACAGAAGTTTTGCTTTTATTGATATACAATAAAAGAAGAGGATGTTTTCTGATGTTATATATATGTTGAAACTGAACCATTTGATAAAATTGTATCTCACCAAAGGGATTTTATGCATTCTCTTTCAGACAAGGTGTTACTCCGTTACTATGATTCCCAATTCCCCTCAAGTGAAACAGGTAATTTCGAAAGCTGGGTAGCTCTAGTGCTTGAATTCCTAAATTTAGGGTAAAGACAAATCCAAAAATGCTCCATGGGAAAGGAAAGCAGTCGCAGAAGGTTCTCTCCAGCCCAAACTCATGGTAAAAATCTTGGATCTAAGATTTTAAACGGATATACTCCATCTCATCCATTTTGCAGTTTAATAATTAGGATAAAGGTTTGGCTACATTTAACAGAGATTCAGAATAATAGTGTCTTAAGTTATACAAAACTTTATTTCTGTTTTAGCCAGGGCTGGAATGGCAGTTCTGCTCAACAGGTTGCCCAGACCCAGCTCCTTTTCTCTTTGTGGCTCTGCCAACATCCACATGGTTCAAGATTCCTTGCCACCATGAAAATATCCATTCAGCAGGACAGAGGAAGACAGATGTATTATTTGAGTTCTATTTCCCTTTAAGGACGCAACCTGGAAGTTGCACCTGACACTTCTATTCACCTTATATTGCTCAGAACTTAGACATATTGCTACACTTAGCTACAAGAAGGCAGGCTGGGAAACATTCTATTATTACACAAAAAGAGGAGTTGGATATTGGGGGACAACCATCAGTGGCCTTCTATGCAGACAGGGAAGCTGACAACTAGAGCAATACCCATGAGACTCACAATTCTACTAGTATTCTAATAGTATATAAGAAAACTAACCTCTCTCCTAAGGGGACTTAGAATTACCCCTTACTGTCCAATGACTCTTTAGTTTCATCTGGGTACAAGTATTTCTAAGAGATGTGTTGTTGAATGAAATAATTATTTTATATGACATCTTGGACTCTTTTCCTGGGTGTTAAATTCATTTAGATTAAAATGAGTTACAATTCTTAACTTTATAATTTGCATTTTTTAATTGCAAGAAGGTGGTGGTGATCATCGGAAGTTAATGGTAAACCTGAGCCCCACAAAAGACAAAGATTTCTTGCTGCATGCCAACAGTAAGGAGCATTCTGTGGAGGTAATAGAAATATGCACCTAACTGTCATGACTGACTCTACTCATCTGTGCAGATTTGGGGTACTTTGAAGAAGTTGTTTTGTTTGTGCTATTGTACATAAAACAAAATCAGTTATGATTAATAACTTGCTTCTGGAACATGGAAGGGAGTGAAATGGCATGTGTAGCCTTGCTACTGAAAGTTTGATCTCTGCCAGCAGTACAGCATTGCCTGGGAGCTTTTTAGAAATGTAGACTTTCAGGCTCCCTCACAACTGAATCGAAATCAGCATTTTAACAAATCTCCAGGAGATTCATAGGTACATTAAAGTTTGAGAAGCACTGCTATATAGAATGACTCGAATCCTTTCTATTTGGCTGTAGGAACTACTATGTTCTTCCAGGAAGTATTTCCTTGTAAAATACGGTTTTCTTAGGCAATTGAAAAACTAATTTTATACTCTGAGACTGCTAAAGGGAGAGTCATAAACATTTCCATATGCCAAGATATATAGATAACATAATAATCTACATTTTAATCATAGGATTCACTGCATTGTCTTCTTCAGTTAGTAAATAGCAGTATTATATTGGTCATGATGAAGAATTATAAACATCTTGAGGAACAAACAAGCCAAAGTGGACACAAGGAAGAAAACATTAAAGTATAATATAGAAGATAAATTATATAAATATATAGAGCTAACAAATATAGCCATGCAAGGTATTAATATAAACTCTGGATGGTAATCAGCATCTCCCTTAACAAAACATTCCTAAGTATATATAATAGTGTTTGGCATATATAACTACTCAATAATAAGTGCTGACCCCTACTGAGCTTTATTATATACCAAGAAGTGTGCTAAAGGTTTTACAAGTACTATCTCATTTAATTCTCACAATAACTCTCTTATGAAGTTATTGTATTGGTTAGGTTTGCTGTGTAACAAACCATCCCTAACACTTAATAACTTAAAATAATAATCATTTCTATCACTCATGTATCTGTGGGTAAGTTGGGAGTTGACCGATCTAGAAAACTGGCTACACTAAAAAACTGAGGCTTGAAAGGTAAAGCAAAGTGTCCAGGTCTCAAAGATACTACATGGCAAAAGAGAAGTATGAATCCAGAAATACTGCATCCAGATCCAGTCATTCTAAGCCATCATGTCTCTCAAAATATACTATCAGTGAATCAAATCAAATCCCCCTACTTTGGCCCTCTGCTCATTTCTTCTCCACCTCCCATCCCCTTCTCAGTAAGCAGGCTTGCTAGAAATATCAAGTTATGAATAATTATTCTCCTTTAGTTTCCAATACAGGGATGTAAAGTTGACTCTGGACTTCCAACTCACATATTGGTTACTTTCTCTCTTGTCTTCCTCAGCTACAAAAATGTGAAAACCAATTGCCAGAACAGGCCTTCTTTGTCCTTCATGAGGAGACCTCCCAATGTGTTTCATTTGAATGTAAGAGCAATCCTGGAGTGTTTCTAGGAGTAAAGGATAACCACCTAGCTCTTATTAAACGAGGGGAACACCCTGAGGATTCAAATGAAGAGAATACCATATTTAAGCTCTCAAACTTAATATGATGGAAAGCTGCAGATCTTGGGTTGAGTAGTCCAAACAGCTACCACTGGAGAAAGGATAAGCGATAAAGAGACAGATAACATGAAGGGAAATGGAATGTTTAGTATGCTGAGGAATGTTTTCCTTATTATGTATAAAAATGTTTTTTATAATCCTTCAGTTCTGTTTTTTATTTCCCTCTGTATCACTGCATATTCAGTACAAGTATTGGTATATTAAATAGCATATTGGTAAAGAGATTTGCCAACATTCTGAAGAGATACAGCCTGACCTTTACATTTTTCCTCTTTCAGTCCTGAAAGAACTTCTTCATATTTTGAGCTGAGACCTCTGGGGAGAAGCAAAGGGACTGATCCGCAATTTTGCTTTAGACAGGGATCAATTTAAAGAGCTATATAGGGACATAATTTTCCCTCGTTCCAAATAATAGCCTCAAACACTAGAGCCACTAATAAAAAAGACAACTGGAAGCTACACAGATTTACCATGTCACAACTGGAATAAAACACCAAGCTTGTTTGTAAATACTGAAACTTCAGATGCCTATATAGTTAGACAGGTAATATAAATATGTGAAAAGGCAAGGATAATTTAAAAATTAAGGAAAACAAATCTAGTATTTTAAAAGTGAATAATTTCACCTCTAACTCACTTTTAAAATTCTGACTTTTATAGACTGAGTTAACTTTAAGCAAGGCATTCTTACATTAGAAAGTGAAATAAATTTTAGTTCAGACATGAAATTGAAATTATTAGGAATATCTAACAAACTAGAATATTTTTAAAAGCACTGAGCCACAATATATGTTTGGGCATCCAAGTATCATGGGTTCCAAGTACCATGGGTTCCAAGTACCATGGTGTGGACATAAGTCCTCTAACCTACTAGAGCTTAGACAGGACATAGGATTAACATTACAATTTCAATAACTGGTTATCCTTCATATGTTCTTCTGACCCTGGCTTCCAGGAATCTATGACTTTTGATATATTCATTACCTTGGACAAAATTTCTTCTCATCCTTTCTTCCGACATGCACAAGGCCTTTTGTTGTTTAGCTTCCCAATAACCCTGCTTACTATGGAATATTCACTTGACTTCTGTTCTTTCTCCATTTCTTTTGACCATCTGTGTCCTTCTGCACCCCCTGACCTCACTTCCACGTAACCTGACCTCTGGATGCCAACATCTTTATTCTGCTTTTTCTACCTGATGGTGTAGAATTTTATGTAAACCTATTTATGGCAGTATTCTTCATTAAACGTCTTTGTGTTTTATTGCTACTAAGGTACTAAAGTTTATACTCAACCATATAATAACATTTCTCAACTACTAAGTAATTTTTGCTTATTTTAAAACCTTAGCAATTTCTACTGTAATTCTTCACAGGTGTAATACTGATAATAAATGACAAACATAATGACAGAATACTTATAAAATATGACTTTTTCTGAAAGTGTCGGCTTTTTAATTTGTTGAGATATATTGAATATAACTGTTGGTGGAACATAAAATAAAAGAGGCTGAGAATTACTGTATGAGTGCAAACAATTATAGAACAATATATCTTTGATTCATTACTTTGTCAATAATTTTACTATAGAGACAAAAATAAAAGCAGAATCTATATCACTCCCTCTGAAAAACACTAAATGTTGACCATGTGTATCTGTATGATATACTTAAATGATTATTATTAAGTAACCAAATATATCCATTACATTGTTCATATTCTTGAATAAACTGTATTTTTCAAAAGTATGTGAGACCATAATGATTTTATCATAAAATGACTCATATTGTGAAATTCTTAAGTGAAAGTAAGCATACCCCAATCCATCAACGTTGGTAAGTGTAGTAGGTCATTTGTCTAATATTTTTGGTGATTCAAAATTAAGTAAGGGGCTTCCCTGGTGGCGCAGTGGTTGAGAGTCCGCCTGCCGATGCAGGGGACACGGATTCATGCCCCAGTCCGGGAAAATCCCACATGCCGCGGAACGGCTAGGCCCGTGAGCCATGGCCGCTGAGCCGGTGCGTCCAGAGCCTGTGCTCCGCAACGGGAGAGGCCACAACAGTGAGAGGCCCTCGTACCGCAAAAAATAAAAATAAAAAAAAAAATTAAGTAAGATTTTTCAGAGAAGAGGCTGTGTCTTTTTCACCTTTGTACTCATAGTGCCCATCATGGTGGCCAGTACAAAGGAGGTATTCAGTGACTTTTACCAAAGATCAAACAGCCAACATACACTTGCATTAAAACTTTAACCTGGGACTTCCAACTCCTTATTTAGATATCTTTCAATCAGGTTATCTTATTTTACAAGTTTAATTTTCCTTTTTTTAAAAAAATACTTTCCACCATCACTATAGTCAGTATTATTTGATTAAAACATTCAAATGTATGGTAGCTTTTTGTCATTTACTTGCATTTTTTTTAACATCTCTACAGGAGTATAATTGCTTTACAATGGTGTGCTAATTTCTGCTTTTATAACAAAGTGAATCAGCTATACATATACATATATCTCCATAACTCCTCCCTCTTGTTTCTCACTCTCACCCTCCTTATCCCACCTCTCTAGGTAGTCACAAAGCACCAAGTTGATCTCCCTGTGCTATGCGGCTGCTTCCCACTAGATATCTATTTTACATTTGGTAGTGTATATATGTCCATGCCACTCTCTCACTTCGTCCCAGCTTACCCTTCCCACTCCCCGTGTCCTCAAGTCCATTCTCTACATCAGCGTCTTTATTCCTGTCCTGCCCCTAGGTTCTTCAGAACCTTTCTTTTTTTTTTTGAGATTCCATATATATGTGTTATCACATGGTATTTGTTTTTCTCTTTGTGACTTACTTCACTCTGTATGAGGTCCATCTACCTCACTACAAATAACTCAATTTCATTTCTTTTTATGGCTGAGTAATATTCCATTGTATCTATGTGCCACATCTTCTTTATCCATTCATCTGTCGATGGACACTTAGGTTGCTTCCATGTCCTGACTATTGTAAATAGGGCTGCAATGAACATTGTGGTACATGACTCTTTTTGAATTATGGTCTTCTCAGGGTATATGCCCAGTAGTGGGATTGCTGGGTCATACGGTAATTCTACTTTTGGTTTTTTAAGGAAAGTCCACACTGTTCTCCATAGTGGCTGTATCGATTTACATTCCCACCAACAGTGCAAGAGGGTTCCCTTTTCTCCACACCCTCTCCAGCATTTATTGTTTGTAGATTTTTTGATGATGGCCATTCTGACTGGTGTGAGGTGATACCTCATTGTAGGTTTGATTTGCATTTCTCTAATGATTAGTGATGCTGAGCATCCTTTCATGTGTTTGTTGGCAATCTGTATGTCTACTTTGGAGAAATGTCTGTTTAGGCCCTCTGCCCATTTTTGGATTGGGTTTTTTGCTTTTTTGATATTGAGCTGCATGAACTGCTTGTATATTTTGGAGATTAATCCTCTGTCAGTTGCTTCATTAGCAAATATTTTCTACCATTCTGAGGGTTGTCTTTTTGTCTTATTTATGTTTTCCTTTGCTGTGCCAAAAGCTTTAAGTTTCATTAGGTTCCATTTGTTTACTTTTGTTTTTATTTCCATTTCTCTAGGAGGTGGGTCAAAAAGGATCTTGCTGTGATTTATGTCAAACAGCGTACTTATGTTTTCCTCTAAGAGTTTTAGAGTGTCTGGCCTTACATTTATGTCTTTAATCCATTTTGAGCTTATTTTTGTGTATGGTGTTAGGGAGTGTTCTAATTTCATTCTTTTACATGTAACTATCCAGTTTTCCCAGCACCACTTATTGAAGAGGCTGTGTTTTCTCCATCGTATATTCTTGCCTCCTTTATCAAAAATAAGGTGACCATATGTGCGTGGGTTTATCTCTGGGCTGTCAATCCTGCTCCAATGATCTATAGTTCTGTTTTTGTGCCAGCACCATAAATGTCTTGATTACTGTAGCTTTGTAGTATAGTCTGAAGTCTGGGAGCCTGATTCCTGTAGCTCCGTTTTTCTTTCTCAAGATTGCGTTGGTTATTTGGTGTCTTTTGTTTCCATACAAATTATGAAAGTTTTTGTTCTAGTTCTGTGAAAAATGCCATTGGTAGTTTGATAGGGATTGCACTGAATCTGTAGATTACTTTGAGTAGTTTGGTCATTTTCACAATCTTGATTCTTCCAACCCAAGAATATGGTATATTTCTCCATCTGTTTGTATCGTCTTTAATTTCTTTCATCAGTGTCTTATAGTTTTCTGCATATAGGTCCTTTGTCTCCTTAGGTAGGTTTATTCCTAGGTATTTTATTCTTTTTGTTGCAATGGTAAATGGGAGTGTTCTCTTAATTTTTGCTCTGATTTTTCATCATTAGTGTATAGGAATGCAAGAGATTTCTGTGCATTAATTTTGTATTCTGTTACTTTACCAGGTTCATTGATTAGCTCTAGTAGTTTTCTGGTAGCATCTTTAGGATTCTCTATGTATTGTATCATGTCATCTGCAAACAGTGACAGCTTTACTTCTTCTTTTCTGATTTGGATTCCTTTTATTTCTTTTTCTTCTCTGATTGTTGTGGCTAAAACTTCCAAACTTGCATTTGTTTTGAGGTTGGATAACACATATTACCAGAACGAATTTACCCATTTCATTTTATCAGAAATGAAAATTATGTCAATATTTAGTTTTCCCTCATTTTATTTATGTTCTTTACATTTTTATGCATTTATTGGACACCTTGAAATATTGTCAGGAAAATTTTATTTGAATGAGTAAAGTGACTTAGAGTTGGGAAAGAAAACTAAGTAAGTGTTGAAATTTGGGGAGTTGGGGAAAGAAAATTCCTAATTTAAGTAGAATGCAACAGGTTGTTTAAAGTCTAAAAGGATTAATTCACAACCCCCATATCTGCAGAAAAAAACAATCCAAAAAAAAAAACCCCACCAATTTCAACCTTTGCGCCTCATGCTGAGAAACTGCATGGTGGATAGAGAAATCTTAAGCTGGGATACTCCAGTTGGGTTTGGGACAGGCTTGTCCTAAAACTCCTTCTCCCCTCATACTATCAGCTCTACAGCTCAGAAATCTCATCTTCTAGCAGGTATTCCTTAAATACATGCCATATATACTGGATGTATCAATGAGTTACTTCCTGTTGAGGTGCCAAGATGATGAAACACTCCCTCAAGTCCAATTACAGTCCCTAATCCAGAGGACACTCCCATAAAGAGAACGCATGAATCACTGCCTAGCATATTAAGAACATAGGCTGGGACTTCCCTGGTGGCGCAATGGTTAAGAATCCACCTTCCAATGCAGGGGACTCCAGTTCCATCCCTGGTCAGGGAACTAAGATCCCACATGCTGCGAGGCAACTAAGCCCATGCACTGCAATTACCGAGCCTGTGTGCTCTAGAGCCCGCATGTTCCAAAGCCCACATGCTCTAGAGCCCATGTGCCACAACTAGAAAGAAGCATGTGCCCCACAACAAAAGAACCCGCGTGCCACAATGAAAACCCGATGCAGCTAAATAAACAAATATTAAAAAACAAAAAAAGAACATAGGCTTGGTTTACTGCTTACTGCCTGTGCAACTTCAGCAAATTATATAACCTCTCTCAATCTCAGTTTATCCTCTGCAAAAATGAGGAGATACCAAATATTGTAGTTGTTTACTTACTGTCTATCAGCACCACCCCTACTTCCTTGCCCACAGAAACTCATTTTGACCTGGGCAGCAATATGCCCAACTAAAAATACACTCCTTCCCAGACTTCCACACAGTAATGTGGTAACCATTTGAAACCGTTCTGGACAATAAAAGTTAGACAGTATAATG